AAAACAGTCCCATTCAAGTCAAAAATTGATTTCCCCCACAACTGAAAAACCAGTAGGCCAGGGATGGGGAACCTTTTATGGCTCACTCAGGAATTCTGGGAGTTGAAGTCCATAAGTGATAAAAGAGTCAAGTTTCCGTACCACTGCTATAGGGCACTGCACACCAGAACAACTAGACACAAGGTCAGTTTTTTTCCCCAAGCACCATCACTGCTAAACAAATAATTCCCTCAACCCTGTCAAACTATTTGCTAAGTCTGCATTACTATTACTATTAATCTTCTCATCGTTTCTATCACCCATCTCCTCCTCCTCCTGTATGATTGTAACTTTGTTGCTTGTATCCTTATAATTTATATTGTTTCCTATATGATTTGATTGCTTATGACTATGACTGCACCCTATGACTATCATTAAATTTTGTACCTTATGATTCTTGATGAATATATATTTTCTTTTTATGTACATAAAAGTGTGTGTGTGTGTGTATTCTATGTAACATCTCTTGTCCATTTTAATACTTCAATTCTATTTGTTTTTTGGCTTGCCTCCCATACTCCTCTCTTGGGTCTTTATCTATCTGTATCTTCACCATTCAGACTGAATATTTCTCCCATCCCTATCCTCCTAAGCTGCCAGGTCTCTAGAGTATCCACCCAAATCCCTATCTCCCTTTCAAAAGTATCTTCCAAGTTATCATATTCCATTTTTAAATCTCTTAAAATGCTTTTCCCTTGATTTATTTCATTAGTCATTGTTTTTATCGTTCTTCTCATTTTGGTTTGTCCATTCTGTCTTTCTATATAGTTTTTTCTACTATCTCCTCTCTTTCCTGGATTCTTTGATCTTCATTCATTATCAGTTGTAGCATATTTTCTATTTTCCTATCTATGCCTTACATTAGGTACTTATCTCTTTAAAAAAGTCTCTAGTAATCATAAAGTGATTAGTTATAGAACAGTAAGTGTCACCACAGTTCTCCAGATGAATGTTGTTTATTTCTCTCATCACATTTTTTCTAAACTGGTAGGGGTCTGGTATATTCCATTCACCAGTAAATGGCGCCCTCAGCTTAGGTTTCAGCATTGTTTCAAGTCTTATAGATTTAATTAATCCAAATTTAGTTCAGTTTATGGAAGTAAAGTCAGCTATTCAAGTAGATAGTCCCACATTTCATAATGCTTTACCAAAACAACACCTGCCGAATTTAAAGGTCCAATTTTCTAGGAACTAACTCCCCTTAGTTCCTTTTTTTTCTGGTCTAGGATTTTTCTCTCTATGGTTTTTTGCCACTTTAAAAAATAGTTCTAAGAGTGTGTTCCTGGGTTTTCCTCTTTTTTTCTTTAAAGTTAGGGTATAAATAAAAAGGAATCTTCTCACTCAGCTCCAGTCACTGTTTATCTACACTGCTCTTGCAGAGTTCTTTTTGCCTTGGCTGTCCCAGTTTCTTGGCAACCATGATGGCTGCCTCTTCTCATCAAGGGAGAGGGAAAAAGCCCTAAGTCCAGCAGGAGAGTTGCTGCTCTCCCGGAACTACAGGGTGCCCCTCTTTTCTTCACCACCCCTACAGGGTGGCTTTAGCTCCTTTCAGAGTGCTCCAACAGGGAGAACTCGGTGTGGGAGCTTGGAGACCCACTCCTCATGTCCAAGAGTGCTTCAGCGTCAGCCGGAAGTACTATTTCATGCCTTTCTTCTGCTACTCATTCATGTTGACTGTTGCTTAGCTGTGCTGTTATGGATTATGCCACCTTCCTTCTCAACTACCAGAAAGGAAAGAAAGAGGTATACTTAAATTCGAAGCAATAAGAATAGAAAATTTTCAGATAATGTGGATCTTTGATTATATTCTGTCTCTCCCTGTTAGAATTGTGCATTCCCACTGATCAGCTAAATAGAATAATCTTTAATTAATTGCTTATCTGAAAGATATATAACATTCTAAGGGAGATCAGAACTTACTAGGCCAGTCCTCTATGCAGCATGTAGGACCATCAACCCAAGCCTAAATTTAATGAACTTTTCATTGTGAAAAATAAGAGGCACAAAGTAAGGTGTTGAGAAAATCTGAAATATTTTCCTTCTGAACTTATTTATGCATTTACTTAGAAACAGTAAAGATGGAATTAGAGGTAAGTTGTACATAGCTCACAACAGTCCCAAGATTTTAAAAGTAATATTCTTTCAATTCTTAGAGAAACTATGTGTAAGATGGAATGTTTGTTGTATATAAATAAGGTTTATTTGTTTGATAGGTATAGCTAATGCTCTGGATCTCACTGATCGCATCCTGCCTCGCCTGCAGACCCGACCTTTGTGCAGGCCACAGCTACTAAACTTTTCCCCATACAGCAAAGATCAGCTGGCTTCTATTCTGCAGGAACGTTTGAAGAAGGTAATATCTCAGTGGCCTGATTCAAAAATTAATTGTCTTGGCCCGAAACAACATAGAAGGAATAATCTGCATTTATCTTCAATTTCACTTGGAAAACTATTATTTGAATTTCTCAGCATCTTCTACTTTGCTTTAGGAGCTCCTTTAGGTTTTTTTTTGCAGCTGAGAACAAATTAGTTAATTTGTTGGGCTAATCCCTAATGGCAAACTGTAAGGTGGGAAGTTAAATGATTAAGGATATTAATTTGAGCAGAATCAGAGGTTTTGAACTAAGTATAAGAATTGCTTTCTATACATGCCCAGATCGTATCTTTTTTTTCCCTCCAAAAATGTGGGGCACCATTACTTTTGTTACCATGTTTTCTGTTCTTTATTCCTTTAGGTGTCAGGGGAGCAGGTGTTGGACAATGCCGCTATCCAGTTCTGTGCTAGAAAAGTCTCTGCCTTCTCTGGGGATGCCCGCAAAGCACTGGACATCTGCAGGTGACAAATATATAGTGAACTAAATTCCAAGCTAATTACTGGATGTGATTTAAAGCTTCATTATGGTGTTCGGTCCCCCTGCCTGAGAAGAGGGAGGTGAGACAGCACCCCCCTGTCTTTGTGGTGATAGGGGAGGGTGGTGCCTCCTAGCTGTGCTAATGTCTGGAAATGTTTACAGCCCATTACCTATGAAGGTTGAGAGGAATCGGTCCTCCTGCAGCGATTATAGATTGGTTAATTACATTTAGATTGCAAAAGGCTCTCATTAACAGCTCTCAAGCAGACATCTTTATGGTGCTTGCAAATGTTATCTTTTCCCGCACAAGAGAGTTTATCAGAGTTGTCTTCCATCTTCCTTGATTTCAGTGAGCTTGGTGTCCCCTTTTATGTTTACTCAAACTCAGAGCAAATACACCTGCTTTAGGATGTATGCATTTACTTATCTCAATCAGTTTAGAAGTTGGTCCTAATGATTCTGGGTGGCTTATAGTTATAAAGTAAGAGTTACAATTTTAAAAAAAATCATAGGTGTCCTGAAGGGGCTCATCCATCAGCTTATCTCAAGGTCTAGGAGAAGAGCCAGGTTTTCAATAACTTTAAAGATCTGAACAATTGTATGTCATTAGGGTAGGAGCAATGTGGATCTTCGGGGGAATATTACACTATAGAACAACAGTAGAGATTTTACACAGGCAAAGAAGCTAGCTGTAACTTTGAGAGGATTCTAATCTAGATCTTTGCATTAGGGTTTAGATATAGCATTTGAAAAGTACACAAAGCATATTATACATTAACCCAATAACTGAAAGTAAAAACCACATGCAGATTAATCCAGATTGTGAGAAAAGAACAGAAGCAAAGAATGTGTGCTCTGAGGCCATTCCAAGAGGGCCAGGAGAACAGGTTGTTGCAGATTACCGTCTTGAATAAGGCAAGCTGCTGGAATGCCATTGTTTTGCTTTTATTCCCTTATCTTTAGAGGTAAAATGTCCTCTTGACCTCTAACAGTAAGAATCAAACTGAAGTGATCTAGTGTCATTTAAGGAGTTCACATAGACCTTATACAGCTTGTGTTTTGATCCTGAAAAAAAAATGTTGAAATATGCTAGGCAAATAAATATTACTGTACGTTTCTTTTTCATATGTTTCACTATTGATCCTGCCTCTTCTTTTCTTTTGATAGCCCCTGAGCTATGCAAATCATTTTGAACTCCGTTCAATATCTACCTTTATAATCCTTGAGATTTTAATCTACAAGACCTTTATAATTTAGTTTCCTGGTGTATCAATTTCATGCAGAAGATTCTTGTAGGAGTTTTTCTTTAACTGGATTATATTTTATTTCTCTTAGTTAAAAACTACATCAGTAAACATAAAATAGTTTACTCATATGATCTAGAGGAAGAAATGATGATAACAATAATAATACTAATGCAAAATCAGCATTAAAAGTTAATTGGTCCTAAAGCAGTCTTTAGAAGAAGTAGAAATACAATTATAGTTTATGTGAAACCAATTCAGTGAAAAACAGTTGATGCTCATCTAGCTGACATTATGCACTTAAGTGAATGCTTTCTTAGTACACTGAAGAATTCTATTCTAATGCTTTATTTGTTCATTCTAGTTGAGGGAAAGATAGGTTGTTTGCTTAATTTGCTTTTGTTGGGGGGTTATGTTTTGTTTTTGGCTTTTGTTCTGTCACCTCCATTTCGTTTGCTTTATTTAGCTGTATAATTGTACATTTTTAGAAAAAAATACTTAATGTTATTAAACAAATTTACTAATGCAAATTATTTTGTGCGTTTAAACATACCTGGTTCCATTTCAAAATATTTTTTGTTCCAAAATTGCCAACCAACTTTTGGATCTGAAACATAAGTTTGGGTTTAACTATGAGTAAATGTCAGCTTATACATAGATTAAGTCCTGTTTCTCATGGGGTGCCCAAATTAGACTTAAAGCACAGAGGGTCAAAATCTGCCTCTGGCACTGTTTCCAATGTAACAAATAGCGCATTCATCTCATTAACATGCAAGATAGTAATGAACTCCTATTAATGGGCCATGCATGCTATACTAGGTCTTCTTTCATTATAGCATACTTGCACAGTTTCTCCCTTGTGACTTGAGAGCTACTTCAGAGTACTGGGGTGAAAAGGCAAGATCAGGAACTGGTATAAGTAGAGTAACATTCACTGTGAAAAGGCTAGGCTAGAATAGGTTTCTTGTATCAATAATAAATGCCATAGCATTTTACAGGACTTTTAGTTGATGGGTCAAACTCAAAATGAATTCATGTACTAGCTAAAGTGGGCTGTGTCAGGCCAATAATTGTTATATTTCTTCTGTTGCTTTTAATTTTGTTATTGCTCTTTTTAAATGGGGACTAAAATAGGAAAGAGTGGAATTATGTAGAAATACATAGATACAGAAAGGGAGTAGGTGAGAAGAAATTCTTAAAAATGAAGAATTGAATAGCTTGCTGTTAAAACAGTCTCTTAATAGTTGAAGACTTTTTTCAAATGACAGGATTGGAGGCAACCAAATCAACCATTTTGTTTTACTCACTTGCTCTTGAAGAAGGATCTTAATATATATCTCACACTTGCAAAATGTTTGCCTAGCTTTTTACAACCAACCTAACTGGAAGCATATTTTTATGCAGGTGTCTTTTTGAAAGTCTACTGAATGTTAAAGACTTGTTTTGTATTGTGGAAAATGTTTTTCACTTCCCAGAAAGCCTCTCACAGTTGTATTTCCTTCATCTTAAAGATCTCTTCCCAAAATGTAACTTTCTTGTGAAATATTTGCCCCTTAGCCAAAGTGAAAGTTTAATCCTCATTTCATTTGCCAATCACACAATTTCTATTTCTCTGTTTCTAAAGTTGAAGTGGAAGCTGAATTTGGCAACATATTGACTATTGTATTCTCAGTCTGACCCACCCAAAATAGAATTAAGGATAGTTTCTGAAAAATGTCAAAGCTATTTATACATAGGATCTACAGCCATGATAGCGAACCTATGGCATGTGTGCCACAGGTGACGCACAGAGCCATTTGTGCCGGCAAGCGAGCCACAGGCAATCTTACCTCACTGCATATGCACATGCCTCATGGCTGATTTTCAGCCTGTTTGAGGCCTTTTTCGGCCTTCCAGAGGCTTGAGGAAAGCCTTTGCAGGCTGAAAAATAGGCACGTTTCATCATTTCCTGTATTTCTGGAAGTGATGAAACAGACCCATTTTTCGGCCTGCAAAGGCTTTCCTCAAGCCTCTGGGAGGCTGAAAAAGGCCTCAAACGGGCCGAAAATCAGTTGGGAGGTGGAGTGCAGGTAAGGGTGCGGGGGAGGGAATTGCGTGCGCATGCACAGGGGGCGGGGGGCGCACGCATTGCCTTCTGGATGATGGTGCGCACACACACAATTTTTGACACAAGAGCCCAAAAAGGTTAGCCATCACTGATCTAGAGGAAGAAATGATAACAGGAATAATACTAATTCAAAATCAGCATTAAAAGTTGATTGGTCCTAAAAATAGACAGTTCAATTTATTTATTAGTTTTATTTACTTAAAGAAGTGTAGCTAAAATGAAAAAGTTTGTCAGAGAGGAATCCCTCTTCAACTTTAAATAAATATGTGTTAAAACTATCTCCCTGAAGTGAAAAATGATTGACTTCAGGCATCTGTGGTCAATATAGGTGGTTAAAAAATTAAGATGATGGCTCTGGGACCATCTTTATGCTCCATGAAAAGGGGTGGGGTTTTGATTGTGCAATGGCAGCTTACCATCTTGATTTTTTAGATTTCCCTGTGGGACCTCCCTGTTACAAACTCCTTGTTCACAAGATGTTGCTGCCACATAAAACTAAATCCAAATAGAATCTGGAGATGAGCATTGTCTACTGAAAATCAAAGACACCTTGTACTGCATGCTTCAGATAGATTTCTGTTGTTAAGGAAGTCAAGAGAATTGCATTAAAGATTTCAAAAATGACATGTAGATTGGAAAATATCCTTTTCTCCCCTTTACAGGACAGATTAGAAATATATAAAATAATATATTAAACACTTATACAAATGGTAGAGCCTGCTTATTTGTCTAAAAATATAGTAAATGTATCTTCTACAAAGAGTTCTGGTTAATGAATAGGGCAACAGCAAAAATGGGACATTACCTTGGAGCTTTGTGTCCTTGGAGCTTTTTGGTAGCATCTAGTTGACCAGTGCACTAGATGAGTTACTCTATTGAATCAGAAGCCAGCTTTGCAGAGTTGTTTTGAGTGCTATCCTTAAAAAGTGGCCCGCTATCCTCTTTTTTATAAGGGCTAATGGTTTTGAAGCAGTTAAATTGTGTCTTATGCAAAGCATTTATTTTACCTCTAGAATCTCCCAAATTGGGAAACAAAATCAGTTTAGCACTCCATTCCAAAATGTGGAAAGTTGTAAGCTGCTTAGAGTCACCTCAAGGTGAGATGGGCAGTAAATAAATGAATAAAATAATGTAAACATAAACTAGAAGCCTGAGACATACCATCACTGTTGCTTTAGATGGTCAGTCTTCTGTCCAAAATGATGCAGACATAGTAAGCTTCTAGAAGGTTCCTTCTAAAAATCTTTACTCTCCCCTTGAGAATCTATTGGGCCTTGTTCTGTTCTCTTCCTGTCATCTACGATTGGTGCAACTTGGTTAAAAGTGGTGCACAAAAAATGGCATTTTGCAGATTGTATAGCCATTTGAGAAAGCAATCTAGGTTTATAAAGAAAGGAAAAATGAAAATCCGTAACATTTATAGTCACTGCACTGGCATCCCAATACAATGACTTGGTGTATGAAATGTCATCAGCAGGAAGCTTTTCTGTTGAGCTTAATTAATTCTGCTGATGGACCTCCATGTCTCCCTTTTTGTGTTGCATTTGATAAGCCATTTGTACATTTGTGTAAAATCCCCATTTTTTTAGACCATAGAAATTGAGTTTACATTTTTAAATTAAATAAATACTCCAGACAAGGGAGATAGCTTTTTGTGCTAATTGGCTTTGGGGTTGGAAGCTTTTTCTTTTGAGCTTTGTTAGGTCCCAATTAAGGCTGGAGGGGTATTAAAATGAGGGTAATGGATGCTATGATCTGATAGCAAGAACAAACAGCAGATATCTTCCCTGTGTGCCCTACATTAAGGAGGCAGCTAAAGGAATGTAAATAATACAACTGGTTGTAACTGATCTGCTTTGTGCTTAAGCTGAAACAGCTGGGAATTCGTTCTGAATCTTGGTAGTATGCTTCATATGTGCTAGAGTGGTGGTTTGGGCAGCACATCTGGAGTGGCACATAGCTGTATTGGGTTATAAAGTTCTAATACCATTATCTAAAATACTATCTTCATCTTTAGGAGGGCCATTGAAATTGTGGAGTCAGATGTGAAGACCCAATCTATATTTAAACAAATGCCTGCTTGTAAGTAGATTTTTCTCATTCTCTATGCAGATCATGTACTTTTATATGCAAAAGTACCAGGTTTCCTTCAGTGTTTTCCTGATCTAGTTTAGCAGCATTTCTTCCAGAAAGAAAATTTAGGCCATGCTGGGGAATGGAAATGTATTTTCTGCTCCCCCAATACAAAAGCAACCCTGTAGAAAAGGCTGAAAATGTTCCCTCTCTTCCGTATCTGATCCTAAATATAAGAAAACGAAGTATGAAATAGCAGAAAACAAAGTAAGAAATAGCTACAGGCATGTCTCTTCCAAAGCAGCTACATGCAAGCTAAAAATGTGTGTGTCTTAAGGATTGTGTGCAGTGAAGGTGGTGTATAGAGGTTTGTATTGACCCATCTTGAACCAATACTTCTGAAGCTAAGATGTGTGGATTTCAGCTACCAGAATTTACCAGCCAGGACGTGATGTCCACATATCTTCATGTTGCTGAGGGATCCTGCTGAAACATTTGCTGTAATAATTTGGATATACAACTTGACTGAGCAGGAAAGGGATCTTTCAATTGGTGCAAAGGGCAGTTTGATGTGTGGTTGCTATGGAAAAAGGCAAATATTAGGATTCATTAAAAAGAAAATCAAAAGTGAGGTTGCTAATGCTTTAATTTAGAACTTGAGTGAACTTTTACTTGGAATAATGTAGTACCAGTTGTCTCACTAAATTTCAAGAAAGGCAAAAGTTGGAGCTAGAAAAGGGAGCAATTGAAATGTTTACTTGCTAGAGCTACTCCCAAATGAAGAAAAACAGCATATTATGCTGTTTAGCTTAGTGTTAAAGAGAGTAGGGGGAGACCTGCTGGAGAGATATAAAATTATTCAACATGACTGGCTATTGGCTTTTTTCCTGAAGCACAGCATTGGTATTGGGGCTTTTAACGGATGCAGAATGTGAAGAGATTCGGGACCAATAATAATGCAGCCCTGGAGATAAATCATAGACATTGCTGCCATTAGATGTGATATCTATTTAGATACTTTTAAAAAGATCAAATAGATTCAAAGATAATTGGATCCTTAATGTTTTCCATTGATGCCTGTTTTATTTACTAACTCTTGAATTAAGATGCAACATCATCAATACTAACAGCTGGGAGTAATTGTGAACTTCTGATTGAGTCAGAGTATGACATAGAACACTGGATGAATTAGAGGATAAAACATTGCATCTTTGACTAATACATGGTCTGAAACTACACGATGCAACAATGCTGGTAAAACTAAGCAGATCTAGATCTTTAGTTGGACGCTGCCTGGGAATCCCAAATATGGCTTGCTGAATTTTTTTCAAATGAGATGGAAAAGGAAACAAAATGCATGTATGTGTCATTTTTGCATTTCAAGAATTACATGTGTTGAGTTGTAGTTTTTATATATGAATAATAAGTTTTCCACTCAGCTATACTTCCGCTTTCTGACCAGCTGATTCCAGCCCTATGACATCAATCAAATCTCATTCGAAAGCAGCTGCAGACTCTGAAGTACTCAAGCGACGAGTGGGCCTGTGTCACATCTCCCAAGTGATCTCTGACGTGTATGGTGACCGGATGGCAACTGGTAGCAGTTACGGTGATGCTTCTTCCTTCCCACTGCAACAGAAGATTTTAGTCTGTTCTCTGTTGCTCTTAACCAAGCAAAAGAATACCAAAGAAGTTAACCTAGGAAAGGTGAGCGTATGGATCCTTCAATACTACTCTCTTGTAGTACTTTTATTTAGTGCTCATGAAGAATGAATGTGAAAGAATCTTAATGTTGGCTAATGTAATATTTTTATGCAAAATTTGAGTTCTGAAACTTCTAGAATAAAATCATATCAAAAGATTGCTGTTCTCTGCCTCTTTGAAAAAGATATTGAGAGTAATAATTCTGTTTACTTAGGAAATAATGTCTTCAATTTTCCCTGGTCTGAATGAAAGATAATTGCATAGAATATAGTACTGTGTGCAATACAGGTAGCCTTTGACCTAGGAACACAATTACACCAGAATTTATTTTGCTAGGCAAGGCAGTTGTTAAATGAGTCAAGCCTGATTTTACAACTTTTGCCAGGATTGTTAAGTGAATCATGCAGTCATTACGCAAATCTATTTTCCCCCATTGTCTTTGCTTGTTGGAAGCTGGCTGGGAAAGTTTGCAAATCACAATCACATCATTTTGGGGTGCTGCAACTGTTGTAAACACATGTCAATTGCCAAGGTCCTGAATTTTGGTCACATGACCTTGCAGATTCTGTAATAGTTCTAAGTGTGAGGACTGGTTGTAAATCAGTGCCAATATAACTTTGGACAAGAGGTTGTAAGTCGAGAACTACCTCTATAGTATATGTGTTATATATAAACTACCTACTAATATTCCCATCCTATTCTCATGGCATTTGAAAAGTGGAGGAGAGAATAGTTTGTTCTATACAATAGTTCCTAATTTTTGTAGCAGAACAATATAGTTGCCTACATTCCAAATTCCTTCAAAATTTTGGGTGCTTCTTTTATTCCATAGGAACAAATGCTGAAACTATCTGGAGCAATTATTTGTCCATTATTTCTAGTAAAATTATACTTTAATGGGATTTAGCATAAGCTCTGAATTTTTTGCAATATATCTTATTAGAGATTCCTATATCTTTTTCCACTCTTTTCTTTCCATATCTTTGGCCACTCTTTTCTTTAAGAAGTAAAAATATAGTAGCTATACCAAATATAGAACTACGTTAGCAAGTGCTTTCGCTGGGCATTTTGGGTTATGATTATGAAGAACATATTTTAGTCAAAAGCTACAATAATGGAATAAAATGAAGCTAGGATGAGTGAGCTTTGTCGTTTATGCTAATCTCTCTGTGTTATTATTATAATCAATAATAATTGGAACTCATTAAACCTTCTCTATTTCTAGCTGCATGAAGCCTACAGCAGAATTTGTCAGAAACAGAAAGTTGGACCTGTTGACCAATCGGAATGCCTCTCACTCTCAGCTCTTTTGGAATCTAGGGGCATTGTAGGACTCAAAAAGGCGAAAGAAGCACGGCTGTCTAAGGTATTTCTCCATATTGGCTGGGAGAATGGTTTAGATCAGGGCTGTCCAACCTTGGCCCCTTGAAGCTTTGCTGGCTGGGGAATTCTGGGAGTTGAAGTCCGCCAGGCTTCAAGGGGCCAAGGTTGGACAGCCCTGGTTTAGATTAATTACATGTTCTTCCTAGGCCGAAAGATCTAAGATTAATGTACAAATTTTCCATTCTCTACTGCTTTTAAGAGGAAACCCTTTTGAGAGGTTGGCTTTTACTCTATTATAATAATGAAAATAATGGAGTGATAAAAATTGGGCAGTGATTCTTGTCTTGGCTTTCCTAGGAAAATGTACTATCTAGGATTCTTTATTGCCTAAAGGTCTCTGCTGTGCCTGGGAATTTTTTTCTCTAGATGCAGCCATCTTAAATATCTTAGTTGTATGGACAGAATACATTTACCAGCTCTCCTTTCTTGTGTTTCTGTGAGACATCCTCAGGGTACAACTTTTTCTGTTCATATCTGTTCTTTGCAGAACTGTAGAAACAATAAACAAAGAAAGAACAGAGTTGAATTATTTCTCAGCAGAGCAGTTGTAACCGCATGTGTAACACTAGTCATTCTACCTTATATTGAAAGAACGTCCAGCAGACATATCACAATGTATTTGATTGGTTGTCTGTCCTTGAAATTTGCCTATTTTTCCAAAGTCCTATAACTTTCTAGAATGTAAATTTCTAAAATGCACACTCTATAATGAGAAAGCAAAGACAAAGCCATTAAGTGCAATATTGTGGCAATTAATTCATGCTAATGCATGGAATTCTGCGATAGAAGATAATTGATTTGAAATGTGCATTTTGAACAGTAGAAGTTGTACAACTGAAATAACTCATTATTAATCTGTCTCCCCCACCTCGTTTCTGCTTGTACACATCTAAATTTTTATAATTGGAGAAAAAGGAAATGCAAATATTTGAGGCATTTGGATAGAATCTTCATTCTATCCCTCTTCTTCAAATGTTAATTCTATGGGAACTGGCAGTGGAAATTGTATGGCAGATTGTTTATTCTTGTAACAATCATAATATTTCTGTTTTGGTTGTGAAGTAGTTGGAAATCAGCAGATGCTGGAAATTGGACTGTTTCAGTGACAAGTTGATACAGAACTTTTTTTTATAGAGAGAGTAAAGGGAAAGTTAGAAATCACCAATACCTACAGTTTAATCTTGATATTGTTACGTGTGTCATGGATACTCAGTAATGTCCAAGTAACAGATGCATGTTTCTTTTTCTTCCACCAGGTCTTTCTGAAAATAGAAGAGAAGGATGTGGAGCATGCCCTCAAGGATGGAGTCTTGGTTGGAAGCATTTTGGCTGGGGGCCTTTAAAACTGTTGCTTTGTTCACTTGTACAACATGTTGCCTCATACGTCTATTAACTTTAGGAATGGACTTCATCAAGACATATAGGGGTGCAATGTTCGGAATATTTGGATCATTGGGTTTATTTTAAACAATATCAGTGTTATAAAAATTGCCCTACTTTCAAGGTTTTAAAAACTTTTTACCCTTTGACTCTTACCTATCACTTTTAATTCTCATTTGGAGATTTCTTTTTGAATACTAGAAATACTTCTCCCTCTTTCCTAGCCACAGGGCAGTCAACCTTTCCTCTGCTGCCCCTTCCCTCTACAAATATGGAACTGCCAATGTGATATTTGCCTCCATGATTAAAAGCAGAGATGAGAAAGGATGAAAGATGTCAATAAGAGCCCATTTGCAGACACAGCCATTAATGTTGCCATAGAAAATAAGAAATACAGTAGCTTGAGTTCTTTTGAAGTTGGACTATGTCATTGATACTGAGGCTTAGCCCTGTACATACAGGCACAAACACCACTGAGGGCCCTTGAACATCTTAACATTTGTGGCTACAATCTTAGCACCAAAATTAATTTTAGACCTGGAGCAGAGTCATTTTTATTTCTGAGCCATTTCTTTTGAAAAATTGAATTAATTGAATAGCTTGATGGTTTTATACGATTCTAATTTTTTTACAAAGTA